AATGTCCGAAACCAGAAATGTCCATGGTAAAATTGTACAAAATAAATTTCAAAAATATCAAAATGAAAAATTCATATAATTTATATAATATTACCTAATTAAAATGGATAAAAGTCATTATTGCTGTATATTTAAAAATGTCAAAAAAAAATTTTCATATAATTTATATAATATAACCTAATTAAAATTTATAAAAGTCAAGCTATACATTTTAAAAAGTTTTAAATACTTCTTTCGTTATTTTTGTACTCCTCGCATATTTTTTTTAATTTTTCTTGCATACCAATATACATTTTTTTTTTTTTGCCAGAGGTTGTCCAATATCTCTTTGCCCAATTTTAACTTCATCGACTCCTAATTCTAATCGCATCTTTTCTATCAGTAACCATATACTTGGATGTGATCGATTCACTAATTTAGAAAACCTGTGATTCCATCCTTCAGTTTGGTTGTTAGTGCGCTGGCCATCGTTCAACGTAACTTCGTGAACATTCCAAACTGAAGGAGGAAATGCAGCAGGGGTTCTTCTAATAACGTTACTTCTAGTATTATTTTTTATAATTCTCCCCCTTATGTAAGTTGAATCAAAATACTCCATCAACTCATTAGCTTCTTGTGGCATAATTGTTTTTAAATAAATTAACCGGGCATTTTTACCTTGGACATTTTTAACTCGGACATTCTTGGTTTCGGACATTTTTTTCCGGACGTTTTTACCGTTTTCTACTTTACCACGAATCTTCTAGAACTAAACTAATCTACCCACTGACTATATCCCACTGCAATCTAAGTTACTAAACGTTGTCGCTATGTTAAGTTTCGATCACATAAAAATATTACTAAGTAACAATGATGTAATATTGTATAATTGTTCCATAAAAATAATATCTAATGTATCATCAAGTAACATTACTTTAATGTTACAAGTAACACATGTATGCAATGCTACAAATTAACATTTATGCTCTGTTTAATTATTGTTGTATTGAGATAATCTTGTTTAATCGTTAGCCCGCAATTGCGGCCCGCAATATTATAATATTATTACCTTATTTAGTTATTTATAAGTTCAAAAATATACCCAAATATACATAATATCTCATTATAATAAATACTATCATTGGTTTTTCCGTTTCGGACTTCGCGGAAGCCAACCCATAGTCCGCGCTCCCCCCCGCGCTCTGTAGCTGTGCTCATCAGTCTTGGCGGCAAGTATAATATTAATTATAATAATAATATCATTTAATCGTTGTTCTATCGCAGACTGCAGTGCCGTGAGTCGCAACTTTACTGATCTATTATCTGTATCCATTATTGGTAATAAAAATATTATAGTTATTAGTTAATAGTTATTACATCTTTTTGTCGCCAACCACCTTTTTCCCATCGTACGACGCTCATTGAGTACTTGTTTCGCTGTTAAAAAAAGTTAAATATATTTTATATTACGTGTTGTTTGAACGAAAAGAAATGGAGTACAAAAGTGGAGAATTCTCGACTCCTTCAGCTGTTAAACAGGTAATTATTATACACCAATTGGTCTGCTTTTTAGTCATTATTTAGGGTAGGTATGTATTTGTAAGTATAACATTTTTTGTCGTTTGAGAATCAACAATAGTAAGCCTAAGATCATTTTTTTTTAGTTAAATTTATCGTAATAACCTATATGGCTATATTATATATTGGTATATAGTCATTGCCTTATAGATATTTACTTTATTCCTTATAATCAATTAATAATTATTAATTTTGTATGCATTGTCGTAGAGACAAACCAAAAAACGTTGGGTTATTGCGACATTTCCGGACAGCAATAACTTCAGTGTCATACCAACAAATTGGGTGTTGAAAACGGTTGATGGTAGTGGAAATGTATTGGTAAAATGTGTGTGGCCCCCATCCACTTTACAAGTAACAAGTGATGTCCTAAAAGAAGGTTTAGAACCGACAGATAATTGGGGTACTTATCGGATAAAACTTCATGAAAATGGGAAAGAGTAAAGTATGTACATTATATCAATTAAATAGTATATTAATTATTAACTTAAATTTATTACTTTTAATATACAATATTCATTTTTATAGGTGATTTTGGAAAAGCTTGGCACACACATGTAACGCTATCTGATCAGTCAGTATCTGAAGTAGAGCAGCAAATAATAAATAAAACAAAAAACAAAAGAATGTGGAGTCAGTCATCAGTCAGTCAGATAGTTGCAAATTCAGATACCTCAAGTGATGAAGGTAATCAACTATTTAATTCTTTTATTATTGCTTACTTACTTATTTTGTTTTTAACTAAATAGATATCAACATTTTACCACATTCAAAAATAGTCAAAAGTTCACAAACTGCTGTTTTGAGTGAACAAAACATTGTAGAAACTATTGAAGGGTGACCGGTCAAAATATCTCTGGTCAAAATATCTCCTACAAAATCTCTCCGATACAAAATATCTCCGATTTAAAATATCTTCAGTTCAAAATATCTTCGATTTAAAATATCTCCAGTACAAAATATCTCCCATGAAAACATTTTAATATTTATAATATTTTATATTAATATTAATTTTTTATAACTACAATATTATTAAAAGCAGATAAAAACTGATGTCTAAAGTGATTACCGAAGTAAGTGAATTAGTATTTAAAAATATATTATTGTAATCATAATATGTAATTTTTAAAATAATATGTAATTATTATTATTTATTACAAGTACAAAATAAATGTCTTATTGTAATATAATTGACTGTATTTATAATATAAAATCCGATCAAAATATAAGTTAAAATTTAAGATTGTGGACAAGTCCCCCTAAATAATTCATTGGTGTAATTTCGTTGTATTGACTTACGATTTTAAACAGTCGTTCATCATAATCATTGTACTTTTTTGATTAATTTGTTTTATGTATATTATATTGTGTTTTATGTTAAGACGTTATAAAATTTAAAATGTATTATAAATGTCAACGTTTTGTATTGTGTAGATTCTATGGTTAATTTTTAGTAAATGATACAACTAAATCCAGGCCTTAATAATTAATAATATAATAATTACCTATTTCTTCTCGAGTGGTTGTATAGCATGAAGTACATTTGTATGTTTTGTACTCAGAACAACGCCAAATGAATTTGTTCACACCTTCTTTATAGAACGTATGAAGATATCCATTATGCAATAATAATTTGTTGCCTTTTTGACTTATAATAAATTGTAGAGGCATTTTTAAATCTAAATAGTGAAACTGGAACTAGGTTAATCGATACAAGCTGTGTGTCTATACTGACACTCTGTCGTATTGATACAGTCGTTACCTCGATAAAATCGTTTATCATGGTTTATAATTGCACTCTTAATCATGAAAAATATATCAGATAATACAAATTGGTCAGTGTGACTAGTTATTTTTGCCTTTCGGATTATTTTCTAAACATTATTAATAGAAAATGTAATCACTTTAGCCATCAGTTTTTTATCTACTTTTAATAATTGCAGTTATAAAAAAATCAATATTAATATAAAATATTTTCATGGGAGATATTTTAAATCGGAGATATTTTTTACTAGAGATATTTTGTATGAGATTTTTGCGGAGATATTTTGACATTAATAATTATACATTGTGTTATAATTGTTTAGGTATAGTAGGTATAAGGTAATAAGTAATAGATAAATACATACATTATAAACAATATAATAAAAAAAATTTATACATTCATAATAATAGTTTAGATAAAAGCTTAGATTTCTCACCAACTGCAACACAACATTTATGATAATATTATTATCTTTTTCCATGAGAATTTTATTTTCAATCGCCATTAGCATAAAAGACTCAAGATATTCATTGGTCATTGAATTTCGCTGCCTGTTTTTTAAATATTTCAATAATGTTGAAAATGACCTTTCACAAGCAACTTGCGTAACAGGGAGGGATAAAATGTATTGATATGCTATAGTTAATGTCGGGTGAGCATTTGCAAATAAATTATATTTAATTAAAACATTATATAACAATATATTACACAGTTTTTACAAGACTTGTTACACTGTTTCACAACATCTGTACTCTCTAGGTCTTTATTTTCAGAGTCACTTCCATATGATTGTTTATTATAGTCCTCATCAACAGATTTTTTTAAAAAATGCCACGATTTTCCAAAATTAAATAGTTCATCAGATAGGTTGTTTTTTATTTCATTTTCACTGAAATTATCATCAATAATGTGAGATAATTTTGTTAATGAATCAGTTGGAAGTCCACTTTTTAATAAACTGAAATTTAATGGAGATAATAAAGATAGGTCAATCAACAAATCATTATTATTTGAAAACCGTGCTTTCAATAATAGTGTCTAACACTCTGTTGTAAATTTCTATGGTAAATTATTTTCTTCTACAATTGGTTCATTGTTGCTTTCATAATTTGCCATTTTTCTTTTCTTAGTCACACGTTTGACTTCAAATTTATTCTGAATCATTTCAATCTCTAGATCTTTACTAGATTCATCTATTCTTTTTTGTATCTCATTATTCATTTTAAGGATAAACTCATCACTAACTTGAATTGTGTTGTCCATATTTCTCTGAATCTTTTTAAAAATAACAATGACCAAAGTAAAGTGACCAATAATACAAAATTAATATGTATTATCATTGATTATTATAAATACAAAATAATAGTATTAGACATTATGCACTTATTACGTTTTATGCACTTATTATAACAATATTATTTCCAATATAAAATATACCTATATTATAGGCATAGGCGTGCGCAAACTTTGTTAGCAGAGTATGAGGCTGATAAAACGTGCTCCCCCCCCCCGCAGATATAAATGCTCCTAAAATGAATGTGCATGGCATTGTATTATAAACTTATGGCTACTATTTTATATAAGAAAAAAAATAGGTTTTTCATATTTTTTGATTAAAGTATTTTTTTTTTACAAATATGATGTTTGCTTAAATGAAAATTTACATTATACATAATTGTTATAATTCAATCCTTCTCTTTCCTGGTATAAGGACTTTAAATTCTTCGATCACATCCTCTAGGTCAATTTCAGTTGCAATGTGTTGTTCGATGAATATCAGCATTAATGCATTTAGGCGCTCTTGAGTCATCACTGACCTCAACTTTGATTTAACAATAGTCAATTTTGAAAATGCTCTTTCACAAGAGCAACTTGTAACGGGAATGGTAACAAACAATTTTAAGGATTTATAAAAATCTGAAAAAATTTCTGAACGTCCACTATCTACTAACCAATCTAACCATTTTGAAATATTAATGTTAGATGAACCGCATATAGATTCTATTTCCGGTATATTTATAAGTAGTTTAATTTCTGTATGAATATTTTTTAAATTAAATGCTTCTGACAATATTTTAATGTCTGCATCATCTGTTTGAAGTTTTAACATTTTCCCCATAGATGCAATTAAATTCAATGTTTCTTGTGAAAAACGTTCATCAATTCCTCTAATCATTTTATCTAACATTGGATAAAAAGTAAAATATCTCATTTCTTCAATTTTACTATCAACAGTATAGTGTGTAGAATTGTCATCAATTTTCCTGGTAAATTTTCTCTTTTTAACTTCAGGTATAGAGATAAGATTTTTTTGACAAACACAACTTCATTGTAAATAACATTTAAGTTGTTATCATCAGTTCTCAGTTTACTCAGGTGTTCTCTAAGAGACTTCACTAGTGATACTGCAGATAACAAATCTAAGTTTGATGATTGTAAACTGGCACTCACTTTTTGGATCATAATTAAAACTGGGCTTAGTATATGCATAGAAAAAATAAAATAAAAAGTTTTCATTTGAAAAATGAGACCTTTAGCTTTGGCTCTAACTTCAGATAAATTTGTTTTATCGGAAATTTCCTCTAAACAAAGTAGTAATGCTGAAAAGTTGTTTTTTACCGCTTCGATGGCTTCCGATCTACAAGCCCATCTAGTAGTAGACCGGTAGGACACGCAATTTGATTACAAACGCGAGGTAAAGATATTTTTATCAATTTATCACTGTTAAGTGATATTTATACCGAACCTCCGGCAAAATGAAAACAAATCGATCAGCTGTTTGACTGTCACTAACCTACACTAAAAACAAAATCCATATTTCCTTAAATTATTGAAAACTGTCCAAAATTAATTTAAAAACAAGTCCATGCTCCATATCGATATCGTATTACCAATTTATAACACAGTCAAAATTATGAACCGAGACATTGTTCATGTGCCCCCAAGCGTCTGGCCGCAGGGTATGCGGGCGCATACCCTGCATACCCCGTGCGCACGCCTATGATTATAGGTACCAGCCAGTGTTGTAAATGTATTTACTCTAATAGCTACTGTTATGTATTTGAAATCTAGCGAAACCACAGCCGCCTACTGTGAGTTTCGCGACCGTGGACGCACGGTATAGATCGCGTCCCCAGGTTGTGGATAGGGGGAAGCCCGGTTCCCTCGGTCGCTTCCGAGTCGGGTAGCCGGCGAATAACTAATAACCGGCCGCGGACAGCTTCGATCAAATGACCCGTAGTTCCGGACAGTATGTCCTCTGGGCCGGTTCACGGTCGCCGGTTGGGCCACCGACCCAGCCGGTGGTGCTCTTAATACGAGTTGAGAGCACGGGCGCCGGAGTTCGCTCCGTCCAGCAGCCGGGCGTCTCAGCGTAAGCCGGGTTCGGGCATGTCTCCGGGACACAGCGGTGAGTGTTACGGGCTCGCGGCTGATGGCTCGTCTGCTTAGAGTCCCTAAGTCGGTAGGCGAGGGTGGTCGTCGCAAATAGTCCCACCTTTGACCGAAAGGTAGGGCTGTCGTCAGTTTGGGCAGGGCGCCTCGGCTCGGCAGGCATCCGGGTCGGGACGTTCGGCCTGATTGACCCAAAGAGTGGGTCCTTGCTGATGACGGTTCGAAAGGGTGGTGGCCAAGATTAATTTCGCACCTCGCGGACGTTCGTCCGCGGTTAAGGCAAACCAATGCCCGTCTTGCCGGACAGAACTGGTAGCTCTCGAGGGGGTGAGAGTCTGACTGAAGACGCTTCAGTACCACGGGAGTGAGTAGGGCCCCGTCGGCAACGACGCCGCTCACCGCGGGCGCCTAGTGATGGTTCACGCCCCTGGACGTCCGTTGCCTGTAGGAATCGTGGTGGCGGTTTTCTTACGAATACTTTGTGGTTAAGTCAATAGATACTTACCCTAAGTTCTCGCTGACAGGCGAAAACCTCTGATGAACGGCCGCCACGACCCGGGGGCGCGAGTCTCCGGTTCGTTGTCGGTTCCTCTCGGGCGTCTAGCCGCTATACCGGTGTAGTATCATCGGAGGTTGGGTGTAACCAGAAACACTCGGTGTGGAGATAGCACACAGCCAGACCAGGCGAATTCAGGCGGCACTTGGCCTGTCTTCTTGGTACGGGACCTCGGTCCCGGTGCTCGTGGTCCATAGACGACGCGCGGCCGGCGGACTGGGCCACCGTACGTCGACCGTGAACCTCCGCGGCTCTCGACTAGCGCACAGCGCTAATGTGAGGTCCGCGGTTGTAGCCGCAAGGCACCAAAACCCGGGAGCCTTCGTGTTATGTATTTGAAGAAGTGTTTTAAATAATTTATTGAAAAGTACTTATATAAAAATGCTTGTAAATAATATTTGTTTAAGTATTTAGATTTATTATCAAATAATAATCAATAATTATTACCTAAGTATAATGATTTTCATAAATAATTTTGTAATTCTTTTACATAGCTTTAAATAAATACAGACAAATATGATTTTTAAAAATGTATTACATCAAATTAATTTGTATTAAATGTTAAAGCAACTTATTGATATAAGTAATATTTTCAGTGGCAAATCGCTTTAGAATCTAGCAATTTTCTTAATTGTATTTGCTGAAACTGTAGGTACATATTATTGTTCTGATAAAAAAAAAGAAAGGTATTTTAATTCAATATTTTACAACATTTTATCTTCAGTCATATTTTGGGCTTCTCTTTTATCATAATAAAAAGCAAATTATTCTGAAAATTAAAAATGTTTAAAAATAATAACTATGTTAATAATTGCTGTAATCCAAATTTAAAATTATCTCTTAAAATTTGGATTTATCATTATTATAGGTACCCTAATACATTTATTATAATATACATTTTTATGTTTTTTTGCTCCAAAAAAATACTTAAATGAATACCTATTTTACTTTTAATAGGTTAAAATGGCAAGTAGCTCTAGGAGTAATAGGATGGTCTTAGCAGCTGCAGCTGCAAATAATATTAAAGATATCAAGATAGATCAAGGTGTTCACTCTAAAGTTGTTTCTGATGAAAATTATGATAGTCATAATATTATTATTACTAAAATTAATAATAAAGTGTTCCAACAAATAATGAAACAAAAGCATAGTATAGAAAATACAAAGAATATTGTTACACCAGAAATTTTAGAAATTCTAACATCATTAACATCATTCACAAGTTGTAGCCGTGATACAAATGAGTGGCTACCACCTGTTTCAAAAATAGTAGAGGACTATCACTCTAATTCAACTTTTTTGAGTAGTAAATTTCCTAGTTGTTCAAGAAACTTATTTGGAGCTGACGATTTACAACATTATACAGAAATGGAAGAAGAACCACAAAATTTAAATCAAACTACAAATGTAGATGCACCAATTAAAAATTTACAACATGATACAGATATGGAAGAAGAACCACAACATTTAAATCAAACTATAAATGTTGATGCACCAATTCAAAACATAGTCGATGAAACAACTCAAGTTGGGAGAGTAGGGTTAAGACCTCCCAAGAAAACGAACATTCGAATGATGAAAAAATATAATAAAGTTAATGGGAAAAATAACAATTGCTACAAAAAAGTACTATTGTTGAAAGTACAAGTACAGACCAATCATGTAGCTGTGCTTTTTTTTAGGTCTATGAAACTGCCACGTAAGCACATTTTCAAAAAAAGAGAGCATGAAAACTTGTCCCTCTTTGATCCTACAATTTGCGATAATAATTGGACAAAAGATTATTACACAAAATCTCATGTTGTATTTAATACATTGAGTAATAATCAAGTTCAATGTTCAAGTTTGTCAATAACACACCAACCAGAACAAAGGACAAAATGTTTAACATCACATGAAAAATATAGAAAAGCGTCAATGTATTCAACAAAAATTTCTGAAATTTTAAGTACTGTGTCAAATGATCAGTTTCATAGGAAAATTGAACAGTTGAAATTGATTATTAATTGTTAGGCAAATAATAAAGAGTTGTCAATAAATTTGTTGGAAAATGATACTTGTGTACTAGATGATTATATAATTGAAGAGGATACTGCTGATCATGATGTGATCTCAGATATACCTCAGATGGCCAATTACAAAGAAGATACTGATGATGATGCCATCATTATACCTAGTGCTAATGAGCTTTTTGCTAACTTACCAAATGCTAATGAACCTGTTGGTAAGTATTGTAAATATTACTATAATAAATTAATAAATCTTAATTAATTTTAATTATTTCAGTCAAAGAAAATATATCTCAGCTTCAGTTACCCCAAAAAGTTCAAGTTTGTGGTAGACCGAAAGGAGCTACTCTAACAACTATTGGTTTACCAAAAAAACATGTTCTAACAAAACCTACACCTTTTAAAAAGAAACATTACAGAACTAAAGAAAATATAATTATTGAATGGTTAACTAATAAAAATGTTGTTGATCAAGTCCGTAGAAACAACTACAAGATATGCGAATCCGATATTAAATGTCAACCAAACCAAATTTGCACTGGAATGCTTGAAGATGATGTTAATATTAATAGTATTAAACCATATTGCACAGAAACTGCATGGAATTTAGCAATAAAAATGTTAAAATTAAAAAAAAAAAATTAAATGGATATGTCCGATGTGTGAGTTAGACATTAAATCACAAAAATCAATTTTATGTGACTCATGTCTTGAGTGGTATGATTTGAAATGTGCAGGTTTGAAAAATAACAGAGTAGGCAAATATTGGTTTATCAAAATTGTAAAAATGTGTTTGAGTGACTACCTAATGTGTTGATTTATAATTGAACATTTTTTTTTTTTTAGATTTTTAGTGAAGACATACACAAACAACTGTGATATAAACTTTTTTATTTTTAGATTTTCAATTGAATATGTAAAATTTGTGATGACTGGTAAAACTGAATTATTATTTTTTAGATTTTAGATAGTTAGGATAAAATGATTATGATTGTTTTTGTTAATTATTTTTGTTTAATTTTGGTACATAATATCCACATTAATATTTATTAATATTCACACAATTCACAAATAACCTATTTCTAAAATATATGATATTATTACCAATTGGCAATTAGTAATAATTACTAATTAATATTATAATCAATGAATAATAATTATCAGATTATCACAGGCATTATCATTGTTATATTGTTATCATGTGTATTATGCGCATTTGTTATCATAGTTGTCGGGTCTTTAATAAAGACCCGACTGTCGGGGATATAGCCACAGCGTAAAAATAAATCTAATTGGAATTGCTGATAAAATAGTACATTCACCATATAATACTTGTGGTAAAAAGTAGTGTTATTAGAATAATTTTTACTTCTAACGATGGATACACATGATGTTTTTACTTTTGGTTCTTTAGTGTATTTATAAATTAAAACAAAACCAAAAAATAGAAAACATTGGGTTCATCCAATCAACAGCGAAAGGCATACCTACTTCAGGACATTACG